GTCACACACTTTGCACAAAAACAATTTGAGGAAAACACTTTATTTTTAATTGTTCTTCACAGTAAAAATGTCCAAAAATAAATAGAATGACAATGTTTTAATTGTGTATTTTATTTTGTTGTTGGTTCGTTCATTCCGAAAGAGCTCGAACTGGTCTCCCTGTCATTTCTTGACGCATGACCATTGACGTTCTGTGGCTAAGTTCCGTTTTTCCTCTTAGGCATCCCTTGACAGCCGTGTTCCGTGGCGACTGTTCGGAGTGCTTTGTCCGGCTGGTGTCGAGTAGCAGCGAGCCAGGTTATGAGTCCGCCACAACCATTTTGTATACGGCGCCATATATGATAGGTACCTAGAAGGAAGCTCGCCGTTGTGCGGTAATTTCATTGCAGATACAGTAGAACAGAATACTGCTAAGGAACTGGAGCTATTCCAAAAAGAACTATTCCACTATTCCGATCAGATAAAGTGGTGCAGAAAGAGTAGATCAGATAGAATAGTGCAGATACAGTAGAACAGATGGAGTATTGCAGTGCAGAGATTTTTTTTGTTTTCTTTACATTTTTTGAACATTCTTGTGCCTGAGTTTATTTATTTGGTGGTAGACTTTATAAGAATAATGCCCACAAGATGCCTAAAAAGGGATGATGTAAAATTTTAATTTTAGGCGACTTCTGATCCAGAGAGTAAAAATTAATTTTCTTCAACCAAAGCCAAATTCACCATCGAAAAAAACTGAATTTAATTCAGTTAATAAAATCTGTTTTTTTTTTAAAGATAATTCCCCAATTCAAAAATTTAGTAACTACTAGCTGACCCGGCGAACTTCGTTCCTCCTCTGAATTATTAAATACCTATTAAATGTTGTGTTAACGTATCTAAAGTGCGTTTTTTTTTTAAAGATAAAAGTCAAAATGACATTATGTTGGCAATACAACGTAAAATTGTCAATGCTTTCAAAATTTTTATGTAGAAAAGGCTTGTGTTGCCAACGTAGTTACTAAATTTTTGAATTGGGGAATTATCTTTAAAAAAAAACAGATTTTATTAACTGAATTAAAATCAGTTTTTTTCGATGGTGAATTTGGCTTTGGTTGAAGAAAATTAATTTTTACTCTCTGGATCAGAATTCACCTAAAATTAAAATTTTACATCATCCCTTTTTAGGCATCTTGTGGGCATTATTCCTATAAAGTCTACCACCAAATAAATAAACTCAGACACAAGAATGTTCAAAAAATGTAAAGAAAACAAAAAAAATCTCCAGCGCAGCCCTGTTTCATTTTATCTGCACTGCAATACTCCATCTGTTCTACTGTATCTGCACTATTTTATCTGATCTACTCTTTCTGCACCACTTTATCTGATCGGAATAGTGGAATAGTTCTGTTTGGAATAGCTCCAGTTCCTTAGCAGTATTCTGTTATACTATATCTACAATGAAATTACCGCACAACGGCGAGCTTCGTTTTAAATACCTATCATTTATGTCGAGTATACAAAATGGTTGTGGCGGACTCATAACCTGGCTCTCTGCCACTCGACACCAGCCGGACGGAGCACTTCGAACAGTCGCCACGGAACACGGCTGTCAAGGGATGCCTAAGAGGAGAAACGGAACTTAGCCACAGAACGTCAATGGTCAAGCGTCAAGAAATGACAGGGAGACCAGTTCGAGCTCTTTCGGAATGAACGAACCAACAACAAAATAAAATACACAATTAAAACATTGTCATTCTATTTATTTTTGGACATTTTTACTGTGAAGAACAATTAAAAATAAAGTGCTTTCCTCAAATTGTTTTTGTGCAAAGTGTGTGACAATAAAATCCACATGGTTTGCAATGAAAATGTGACGATAAACTTGGTATCGGTTATAAGAGATGGCGCCGTATGCGGGCTTAGTGAGTTTTTTTCATAAATAAGTAAAATAGATATTTTTTTTTTTGTTTTTTTTTTGTTTTTTTTTTTGTTTTTTTTTTTGATTTTTTCGATTTATTATCGTAGGATGGACAAAGACAAATCCAATAAAGCAAAAATCATAAAAATCAGTCCAGCCGTTCTCGAGTTATAAGTGCTCAAGACCAACACAACTGTGTTTTATATATATAGATGTTCGCAACACAAGCCTTTTCTACATAAAAAATTGGAAAGCATTGACAATTTTACATTGTATTGCCAACATAATGTCATTTTGACTTTTATCTTTAAAAAAAAAAACGCACTTTAGATACGTTAACACAACATTTAATAGGTATTTAATAATTCAGAGGAGGAACGAAGTTCGCCGGGTCAGCTAGTAAATCATAATAATATATCATCAAAAATCCATTTTATTTCCAAAATCCGACATCACTGAGATCACTCAAAGATCGTTAATATGGAACGTTCCAAATCGAGCCATACTTTCCGTATGTGAAATAGCAAAAAATGACTGAGTGATTGGTATCCCACCAGTGCGGTACATTTTAAATTTTGTTTCACTGGCGTGCTGGTTGCCTAACGTTCTTTGTTCAATCCAGGTTTCATTCAGTGGAGTAGCAAAAAAATGTTGAATAATATGAATAAATAAGGTTCGTTTCTCGAGGGTTCATACTTTTGTTGTCGAACACGTCATAACTTGCTAAAAAAGGGCTGTTATAGATTAATTAATTCATAATATGACACATTCAATATTCGATTTTTTTGACAAAAGATAACGCACACCTAAAGCCTAGTACTCATAACCGCGAAATTCGCTATTTTTTGACATTGCTTTGACAATTTGACGTTTGATTCACGCATAAAACGTCAAATTGTCGACGCAATGTCAAAAAAGCGCAAATTTCGCGGTTATGAGTACTAGGCTTGGCTTGGCTTAACATGGAATTTTTGGGCTCTATGAATTTTGCCCATTTTTTGATATGTTGTAGAGGATTTAATTCTTATTTCTTAACAACCTCTAAATGGGACGGAATCTTACAGGTATTACCTCGGGTATTACGGTCTTTGAGATATGAATGTTGCTAGATAAGCTTTAATGCAACTTTTTTTCTGGAGAGTAAAAAATACTCTGATGTTTATCAGAGTTAAGAATATTAAATCCTCTACAACATATCAAAAAATGGGCAAAATCCATAGAGGCCAAAAATCTCCCGTTAGGTGTGCGTTGTCCTTCAAGTCCTTTAAAATGAATGGCTTCTGGTTTAAAAACCGATGAACGTTTTTGACGTCATTGATTTGTTTCAATCAAAGTATGAACCCTCATGAAACAAAGTTTATGTGCAAGGAAAAGCTCTTCATAGCCAAACCAGAGAGGTAATAGGCTATAGCCACTATAGCGGGCGGATTTCGACATTTAAAAAATTCAAGCTTCTTTCGTAAAAAAGATGCACGCAAAATCAAACGCAACGTGAAAAATAATGTTAAATCTTTCAATAAAAAAATAACTACGCACACCTCTGATATCAAGCGTTGGCCGAGTTTTTGAGTGGAATTGAATTGTCCCCTCTCGCAACTATTTACTAAAGACGTCTTTTTCTGTTGAACCGTGTTTTGAAACGTTTCAAAACTGGTTCGATTGCTACGTCATCATATCGGATCGGTGGTGATCAAAAATGCCCTGTTTTGAAACGGAACCTGCGACATCCGTAAAATTATTGTTTTGTGGTATTTTGAAGTCAGATGTTTATTGTCTATTTTGAAACAGGCTGAAAGAGCGGTTCGAAACTGGTTGAACCGCTTCCGTATATGACGTCACCGTTGCAACACAAAAATGTAGCATTTTAAAACGTTTCAAAACATTCCGTAAGAAAAAGACGTCAAGTTGTCTGGTGATGGGTAACTTACCTGATGACGCATCTGTGGTGCTTTAAGGAGATTTGCATTATGTTGACGCACCCCAGATGACGTCATAAAGTTATCAGACAGCCTAAATAACCTTGCAGGCAACCTACCTCTATTAAACCGTAGTGAAAGCCCTTTCCTTACTACAAAATATGAAATCTCTTCTACATTTTTTTTACATTATGGCGCGGAATATTTAAATATATAAATAACAATGTCATTTTTTTAGGTCTTACAACCAAGATAAAACAATAAATTAATCACAATATTTGGCCATTAATAACATAGGAACTGAATTTGCTAGAAAAGGCGTTTTTTATTTCCTAGCCCGCCGCCATTATGGAAAATATACAAACAGGCTAATAACATAAAAAACGCCTGGTAGAAATTGATAAAAATAAGCTCGACATACCTTATGAGGGTGAATGAAGATGAGGGAGCACTTTCCAAATTATTTCTTTGGGTTTTTTTGATCTTTAGAAGCAAAAATGCTAGGAGCCAAAAAACGTGCAAACTACACTGACAAAAAAAGGCAAATGGAATAACAGGTAACCAGGTAATAGGAGATTTGACAGAAAACGACGGGACGGACGCATTGCGCAGTAACGGAAGCGGAAGTCGAATTGGCTACTCAACTCAATGCGCAGGACAAAGACACATATAAGTCGGGGTCGGATGGTGGCGACATCTGGGTTGCGTTAGTGTAATTTTGAAGATGCAAATGGAATACACTCATACAAAATATAAAGTCTGTTTTTTTTTTTGTAAAGATAATTCCCCAAGTCAAAAATTCAGTAACAATTCTACGCTGAAAGGGCCAGAATAGAATTCTGTTTGATAACTTTTTAAAGATTTAAAATAATTCAACAGAACAAAAAAACTGCAAAGTTATTAAACAAATACAATTTGAAAAGTGGAAAGGTTTGCCCGAAACTGTGTTCTGTACTGTATGTTCTGGTTTATTATTTTTTCATGAACTTGGGGCAGCTAAAAGAAAACGCTCCGTTTCACTAAATCCCTCATGGCGCCATCTATCAAAGAAAAGCCAAAGTTTCAAAAAAAAAAACATAACCTCAGTTTTTTTTTCTGTTTTTGTTTACATTTTTTAAAATAGTAAAAGTGAAAAGTTATTTTATTTATGAAATATCTCCTTTATTTTGCAGCGATTTAAATGAAATATGGACAAAAATGGAACGATATTTTATCCGATTATCAGTTCTATACAGAAAATGGCCCTTTACGAAACAAAATCTGTAAGTAGGACCCAGTTTTCTAATGTAAACATTGTTTTCTGGAATCACAAATTTACTTAAAAAATTTACTTAATTTTAAAGAGATATTTTGAGATAATTAATGTTGAAATCCATTTATTTCTTGTAATTATGACTCGTGAAATTTTATACAATTTTGTTAGAATCGAAATATAAATTAAATAACTATTATCTAATTAGGTACAAAAATTAAAAATTAAATTATTACTTACTCAAATTCCCAGATTATCCCATATCTGATGATTTTTGTGTTTTTATTAAGTAGGTTAGGTACTTATTATTATAATCATCATTCATCAAGACTATCCAACTCAACTTTTAGTATATAAAATTCACAGAGCCTTCCTAAAAATACTTGATCTAAAATACAAAACTTCCTCACCATTACAACCACCTCCTTATTAATGCTAGCCATTCTGAGACTTTACAAACTCATATTTGAATCTTTGTTTGCAATTGTTGTTTTGGGGTTCTTATATGTTTTCTTATGAATTATATCGAGGCTGAAAAGGAAATCGTTTTAAATTATGACTATTTTATTGCCAACTTCAACTTATTAATGTCACATAAAAACTACTGGTTAACTGGTCACAACAATAGGGCATTCCAATATTTCCAACAAAAACAAAACAATCAGGGCACACCTGAGGGGCACACCATAGATTTAATACCTAGTAACGTAACAAGATAAGTAGATAACACCCTATCTAAAAGCATTGGAGCAAGGTGGCACAAACATGTGTTAAGAATCTCAAACGTTCCGATCATAGGCGTACCCATAAAAAAATCATTTTTTGAGCAATAGTTATTTTTGTGACAAGTACCTAAAATGAAGTTTTTCGGGACGAATCATTGCTTTTTCCATAGCAGATGAATCCTGAAAAACTTCGTTAGGTACGTGTGACAAACACTATTAATAATAATAATAATGCTTTATTGTCAAAAAAATTATAACATAATTTGTAGACTAAGCCTTAAAGTTAAAAATACATATTATATACATCTACATGTATACAAAGTCAAAATAAAATGATATAAACATAAACAAATATAACATGAACAAATACAAAAATGAACAAATTACCTATAAACTATGATCCAGTGTGTGGAACGCTCAAAATTAAGTCAGAAAAAAGTCATTTACTTTATATAAGGCTCTCTCTGATAAATAGGATTTTAGAGCTATGCGAAATTTAGGAAGAGATGCTATGGACTTGATGACTACTGGCAGATGATTGTGCATTTTTTTTGCGTTGTATAGAATGGAGCTCTTAATTAACTCGGAGGATGGAGTTGGCAGATAAAGATCATGCTCCGCGTTTCTAAGTGGATAGTTATGCAATGGCCTTTCTGAAATACTGGGTAGGTGTTTGCGGATAAGGCAGACTGATTCTAGTATGAAAAGGGAAGGAAGTGTTAATATTTTATATTTTTTGAAAAAATCTTGGCAATGAGCTCTATTTTTTAATTTTAGGGAATATCTAATAGCTCTCTTTTGTAATTTAAAAATACGGTCAAATTGAGTCGCACAGCACGAACCCCAGAATGGAAGGGCGTATCGAAGATGTGATTCGAAAAGGGCAAAGTAGACTGTTCTAGAAGTTGACAAGTTGAGTTCCTTGGAAACTGATCTTATCGCAAAGCAAGCGGAACTTAATTTTTTTGATAAAGAATCGATGTGCGAATTCCATTTTAGGGATTTGTCTATAATAAGGCCCAAAAACTTTACGGAATCAACGACGTCAATAGTAGTAGTGTTATTAAGTACAATAGGATGCATCGTACTTCTATATGATAGAACTTTTGTTTTCGCAGCGTTGAAGCAGAGGAAGTTAGAGTCGCACCATGTTTTAATAGCCAACAAGTCGATGGACATGGTTCTATGAAGAGCTACAATATCCGGGTTGCTCCAAGTGAAACTAGTATCATCAGCAAAAAGACAGATTTTACCGCTGATGTCTAGACTAGCAATATCGTTGATAAACAGCAAAAATAATATTGGACCCAACACGGAACCCTGTGGAACTCCACATTCTATTGGCTTGCATGAAGACGTCGTCGTATCAACCCTCACAAGCTGTTTTCTGTTGTTAAGATACGACTTGAACCATTCCAGAGGAGAGCCTCGAATTCCATAATGCTGCAATTTGTTAATTAGGATATTATGACTTACACAGTCGAATGCTTTAGAAAAATCACAGAAAATTGATGCTGTGGAGTGCAAATTGTTCAAGCTAGAGAAGACATTATTGAAGACAGAGAACATAGCATCAATAGTGCATTTGTTGGTTAAAAATCCAAATTGGTGGATAGTTAGTATATTATATTTATGCAGAAATGATAGAAGCCTTTTCTTAACCAATCTTTCAATGATTTTGGATAAAGTAGGAAGAAGTGCAATTGGACGATAGTTCGACTCTTGGTCCTTATCACCTCCCTTGTGCAGAGGAATAATTATAGCCGTCTTGAGGCAATCTGGGAACACTCCTTGTTGAAAAGATTTATTTATTAAAGCAGTGAGGAGATTTAATGTACACTCCGGTAAATTGAAGAACATTTTTAAAGTTAGTCCATCAGTCCCAGATGACACTTTGTTTTTTATGTCTTTAATTGTGCTGAAAAGCTCTAGTGTTTCTACGGGTGTTAGGAAGAAACTGTGTAAATTCATATTGGTACTGGAAAGATATGAAAGCGGATCGCGAGAAGGAGCTATAGTGGTCATTAAATTTTTTGCCACATTTACAAAGTAGTTATTCAAGTTCTCAGGGGAAGTAGAGGTTATACTGGAAGAGATAGCCTTATTTCTCAAGTCGTTGACAATAGACCACGTTTCTTTGGCAATATTTTCAGTTCTAGCGAACCGGTTGTTATAATAGGTGTCTTTGGCGGCTTTTATAGTTTTATGATAAATTTTTCTATAGAGTTTAACGTAATTTTGAAAGAAGAGACTGTCTGAAAATTTTTTTAGGTGTGACAATGAGCGCATGTTCTTTGCCGATGTCCTCAAGCCTTTAGTAGTCCAGGGTTTATGTTGCTTATTTTTGATAGGCCTGAGGGGAAATGCTTTGAAAGCCAAACCAGATAATTTATTTGAAAATGTTGAAAATGCATTATTGATGTCATCAGAGAGGCAACCCCAGTCAATTGTTTGACATGAGCGCTTGAAATTGAGGAAATTTTTTTCCGAATAAATTCGGCGAAACTTACGTGGGGCAATCCTGCTATTGCTCTTTAGAGAAAAGTTTGTGAGTACTGCTTCATGATCTGAAAACCCTGAACTTAAGACAGTACAGTCAACAAAGCTTGGATCAAAAGATGACACGACGTAGTCGATAGTGCTAGATCTGGTTTTAGTTATTCGGGTTGGAGATTGAACATGCATGACCATACCAAAAGAGTCAAGTATAGACTGGAGAGAATCTTGAGCAGCACACACACTGGAAAAATCTATGTTAAAGTCGCCACATAAAATTAATTTACTCTTAAGAGGGAAAGACTCAAGCAAGCTTAGTAAGTTTTGAAAAAATGTAACCAAGTCAGCGTCAGGTGTTCTGTAAATACAAACAACGTAGAGGTCGTAGATATTGTTGTAGACTATAGAAAATTCGAATAATTTTTCAGATAATAAATTGTCGAACTTGGTTATCGCCGAAAAGTTGTTATTAGTGGACATTATTACAGTACCTCCATGAGATAGTATACTTCTAGTATACCTAGATACTGTAGTGTAGTTTTTGACAAACACAGGTTCGTCAATATTGAGCCAATGCTCTGTTATGGCAATAATTTCTGGAAAATGTAGGTGTTCTAATAATAAATATAATTCATCGGTTTTGTGTCTAATGGACTGAATATTGATGAGAAATACACTAAGCTTGCTATCGTTAATTGTTTCAGAGGGTGCTTGTTCCTCTATTCGCGTCAAGGTATCTAAAAATTTTTGTTATTTGGAGAACCACCAGAAAAGTACTTAGAATGACTCTCCCTAATTTTTTGAAGCTGTTGGATTTTTTCCGAAGAGAAAAACGATCTGAAGGCAGAAAGATCCGCTTCAACTTCAGCCGAATCGATGCCATAGGCGCTGTGGAAACGATAATACAGCTTGCGTAAGGAATCCACGTCACTCGGTAGGCCCTCTGATGCTAACGCTAATTTAATGCTGGTGTTGGTGTAACCTTCAAAACACACATTGGGGGGCTGGTCGTGGAGATAGGCTAGGTAAAGCCTAAGAGTTTTTAAGATGGAAGGGTCTCTCAATCTAGCCAGTAGATAGCGTCCATTTGCTATATCGGAGTTTCGCGATATTCGCACTATAGGTGGGGTCATCGGGTCAAAGTTGAGCATTGTGTCGTTATTCACATTTGACTCTACAATAATATCAGCGTTACTTTGGTGAATATGAGACTTACATGCAGCAATGGCCTCTTTATCGGATCCAATCTTGATTGATTTATTCTCTGTAGGCTTTTTCTTGGAATTGCAGTCTGGAGGAAGGCTTCGGGTCGCTGCAGTGGTTAGGTCGATTTGTTGAAGACTTGTTGTAGAAATAGTATGTACAGGTGATGTTAAATTTGAGGGTGCTAAAGATGACAAGGCAGTGTTTATTGAACTACCGGGCGGCCACATACTTATGTCCTTCAACTGTTCAAAATGTTTCTTGCTTTTCACGCCAATTTTGAATTCGGAAAGTAAACTGTCATCATTTTTCAGCATGGAGAAACAACGGATAAAGTCTGTTGTTCCAAGTTTTTCCTTAACATAGTGAGCAATTTGGTTTGAAGTGTAAGAGACGGGAATTTTAGACAGAATCAAGTAATGCCAATCTTCTTTTTTAATGGTCTTATAAGTTATGGGTGTTTTAACTTCAACTGGAGTAGCCACTTTCTTATGATGCGTGTCAGTTTGTGTCGAATTTGACTTATTTGTCCCTAGCTGAGAGGTCTTGATGTTGGGTTTATCTTTAGCAGCTAATTTTTCCATCA